CCCCCCAGGATCAGTGATTTTCAGAGTTTACAGTGAAAATTACAGCCATGCACTCAAATGTAAGTGATACTTCAAGGCCACAAAGGCAGAATATATTGAGAGTTTTTTCCAGGTCAGTGATCCTAAAGTATAAGAGCAAATGCTTTGGGCATATACAGTATTTCTTTGTGCTTTTGAGCTCAGTTAGAATAACAGTTTCATGTTTAATTTAGCATATCCTACTGTAACATAAACCTTTTAAATTCCCTTAGAAACATATTTTTCTCTGTTATTTTGTTGGTTAAGATGCTAGAATTATCTTCTCTAATGCAAATTTTGGAAACTATCCAAAAATACTAACTCTTGCCTGGTGCAAAGAGTTAAAATGTGTAATTTAAACACTCTGTTAATACTACTTTTTAATATATTTCCCTAACTTTCAAGTTTCTGGTTACAAAAAACAAAAAGGATAAACATATTGACGCATATGATTAAGCAAGTTTAGGATTCCAAGGGCTTGGAACGTGGATCAAATATATTTTAGAGCAGAAGGGGCTAAGTGCATTCAGTGGCCACATGCAGCCTGCCGAAACACTCTTCACAGCCTATGCCCCCCCAATTCCACTGGAACCCCCTCCAAAAAAAATTCCTTAGGGAAGAGGTGAACTGCCACTAGTGAGGGGACCTCTGTGTTTTTTTATGTGGGATCAGGAAAAACATGCAAAAGGCTTTCTTTTGTGTGTGTTATTTCACAGATTCCCAAAAGAGAATGTCTAAAACATGAGTGATTTGTATTAATAAAAGAGGGGAAACAATTTTATATCCTTTGTATTTCCTTCTTTCAGTTAACCTTTTACCTTTTGTCTGTTAAATTGTCTGGGTTTTTTTTTAATCCAACAGCATCACAGGGGCTGCTATCAGCAGCTAATCACAATATCTAGGGGAAAGCTAGAATTCTAAAATTGTCCCAGCCTCTTTGGTCATTTTGGATGGTTTGTGCAACTCCCAGAGGATTCTGGATCAGAAAATTAATACACACCCCAGCTACCATAATATCTCTCCTTGCTTTAGAGAGTTAAAAACATTTCTCATATATTATATACTGACTTCTCTACAACAATCCTGCAAGGAACAAGAACTAATATCTCTGTAGTTCAGATATTGAAGGACTGATAGAGTATTGCATGGGGCCACATACTGAATTCATAGCAAGGACAATCTTAGAATCAGATTCTTTAGGTACTGTACTCAGTTTATACAGATGAGAAACTAGTTGGAGTAACAGACTCTAAAATAGAACAAAAGATGTACGTAGCCTTATGAGGGTTTTAACACTTCGTAGAGCCAAAGGCGAGGGGAATGTGCATATGCTCCCTTTCTTTTATTCTTCTGACTCCATGTAACTTAGATGAGAAACTAATACGTTTCTGGGTTTCTATTTCCCAGGTGGATATGGAAGCTTTTCTTACTCTCACAGATGGTGATTTAAAGGAATTGGGCATAAAAACTGATGGTTCTAGGCAACAAATTCTGGCCGCTATTTCTGAACTGAATGCAGGAAAGGTATTCCAAAACATTGTATACTTTAGAAACAAGCTTTCCTTGTTTTTTTCCTCTTTGTTTTTAGACATTTTCCCATCCTCTATGGGGTGGGGAGTGGGTGTACTCTGATAATATCAGAATGGATTGGGTATTTCTCCACTTTCCTGGGATACTAAGCAGTTTAGCTCTTTTAGACTGGATCATGTCCCTAAGGATGATAATTACCTTTGTCAAAAATTAGCAAGTTAGAGTGGGTTGGCCAGACCTCTTGGAAAGCTGATTTAATGCCTTTGGTGCCAGTGAGCAGTTTTCTCTCTTTTCTGTGGATTCACCCATAACTTTGCTATTTTGAGCAACTTCTGTATGGCAAATACAATTATTTTTAGTTGCACTTCATAATGCAGTTTTTCTGAGACTTTTTTAAGCATCTGGCATGTGTGTGTGTGTCTGTGTAAGTAAAGCACAAAAGTAAACATACTTATTCCATTGGCATCAATAAAGATATGTTAATCTCTCTTTCTTGGCATCACTGTGCACCAAGATATATTCCTGAAAGCATACACAAAAGTTTATTTTTCACTACTGGTCATATTAATGTATTCAGATCTTAACTCTGTAATTGTTTTCTTATTTTAACATTGATTCTCAACAGGGCCGAGAGAGAAAAATTTTACAAGAGACTATACACAACTTCCATTCTTCCTTCGAAAGCAGCGTTAGCAACACTAGGCCTAGAAAACCTCAATGTAAGTATAGATTAATTATTAGAGGTACATTGCATCTGTGATCCCCTTCATGGATTGCTGCCTTGTCGTGGCAAAGGAGCTTGAGTAACTCAGAGAAGCTACGGGTTATGCCGTGCAGGGACACCCAAGATGGAAAACCACTGGGCTAGTCAGGTATAAAATATACCAAATCCCTTAAGAATACACAGGGGAAGTGAAGAACAGATTTAAGGAACTAGATTTGGTGGACAGAGTGCCTGAAGAACTTTGGATAGAGGCTCGTAACATTGTACAGGAGGCAGCAACAAAAACCATCCCAAAGAAAAGGAAATGCAAGAAAGCAAAGTGGCTGTCCAACGAGGCCTTAGAAATAGTAGAGAAGAGAAGGCAAACCAAATGCAAGGGAGATAGGGAAAGTTACAGAAAATTGAATGCAGACTTCCAAAGAATAGCAAGAAGAGACAAGAGGGCCTTCTTAAATGAACAATGCAAAGAAATAGAGGAAAATAATAGAAAGGGAAAAACCAGAAATCTGTTCAAGAAATTGGAAATATTAAGGGAACATTTTGTGCAGAGATGGACATGATAAAGGACAAAAATGGGAGGGACCTAACAGAAGCAGAAGACATCACGAAGAGGTGGCAAGAATACACAGAGGAATTATACCAGAAATATTTGGATATCCCGGACAACCCAGATAGTGTGGCTGCTGACCTTGAGCCAGACATCCTGGAGAGTGAGGTCAAGTGGGCCTTAGAAAGCATGGCTAACAACAAGGCCAGTAGAGGTGATGGCATTCCAGTGGAACTATTTAAATTCTTAAAAGATGACGCTGTTAAGGTGCTACATTCAATATGCCAGCAAGTTTGGAAAACTCAGCAGTGGCCAGAGGATTGGAAAAGATCAGTCTACATCCCAATACCGAAAAAGGGCAGTGCCAAAGAATGCTCCAACTACCGGACAATTGCACTCATCTCACACGCCAACAAGGTTATGCTCAAAATCATACAAGGTAGGCTTCAGCAGTATGTGGACCGAGAACTCCCAGAAGTACAAGCGGGATTCCGAAGGGGCAGAGGAACTCGAGACCAAATTGCCAACAT